TGGAGTGCAATGGCGCGATCTCGGCTCACCGCAACCTCCGCCTCCTGGGTTCAGGCAATTCTCCTGCCTCAGCCTCCTGAGTAGCTGGGATTACAGGCACGCACCACCACGCCCAGCTAATTTTTTGTATTTTTAGTAGAGACGGGGTTTCACCATGTTGACCAGGATGGTCTCGATCCCTTGACCTCGTGATCCATCCGCCTCGGCCTCCCAAAGTGCTGGGATTACAGGCTTGAGCCACCGCGCCCCGCCAGTCTTGATTTCTTGACCTCGTGATCTGCCCGCCTCGGCTTCCCAGTGTGCTGGGATTACAGGCATGCACCACGATGCCCAGCCCAAACTTGCTACTTTTTATATTTTTAAAACCTTTATATATATATATATATATATATATATACACACACACACACACACATATACATATATATACATATATATACACACATATGTGTATCATATATTTTGAAAATCTGGAGTAAATGACAACCCTTTGTATTAACATCTAGTTTTTGTTTTTTTTTTTTTTTTTTTTTGAGATAGAGTCTCGCTCTGTTGCCCAGGCTGGAGTGCAGTGGTGCAATCTCAGCTCACTGCAACCTCCACCTCCCAGGTTCAAACGATTCTCCTGCCTCAGCCTCCCGAGTAGCCAGGACCACCACCACCATGCCCGGCTACTTTTTTGTACCGTGTTAGCCAGAATGATCTCGATCTCCTGACCTCATGATTTGCCTGCCTTGATCTCCCAAAGTGCTAGGATTACAGGCGTGAGCCACTGAGACTGGCCCATCAACCTCTAGTTTTTTTGTGAGTCTGTGTAGGTTTTTATTATTTTTTGGACACATATATACAAAATGGATTTTCATACTTGAGTAATTTTGTTTTCATGTCATGTTATTTTGAGACACGCTCTTGCTTTGTTGCCCAGGCTGGAGCACAGTGGCATGATCTTAGGCAATCTGAGCTCACTGCCAGCTCTACCCTCAGGTCAGCCATCCTCCAACCTCAGCCTCCCAAGTACCTGGGACCACGGGTGCCTGCCACCATGCCTGGCTAATTTTGTTTGTTTGTTGTGAGTGTGTGTAGGTTTTATTTTGTGGTCATATATGTACAAAATGGATTTTTGGCCAGGTGTGGTGGTTCACGCCTGTAGTCTCCCAGCACTTTGAGAGGCCGAGGTGGGTGGATCACCTGAGGTTGGGAGTTCAGGACCAACCTGACCAAAGTGGAGAAACCCTGTCTCCACTAAAAGTACAAAAAATTAGCCAGGCGTGGTGTTGTATACCTGTAATCCCAGCTACTCAGGAGGCTGAGGCAGGAGAATCACTTGAACCCGGGAGGTTGAGGTTGCTGTGAGCCAAGATTGCGCCATTGCACTCCAGACTGAGCAACAAGAGCAAAACTGTCTCAAATAATAATAACAATTAATTAAAACCAAAATGGATTTTCATACTTTGAGAAGTTTTGTTTTCATGTATTTTGTTTTGAGAGGAGGTCTTGCTTTGTTGCCCAGGCTGGAGACCAGGGGTGCAGTCTTAGATCATAGCAGCCTTCACCCTCAAGCTGAAGCCATCTTCCCACCTCAGCCTCTTAAGTAGCTGGCACCAGAGGTGCCTACCACCATGCTGGGCTAATTTTTTTTTTTTTTT